ATGGACTGTAGCCTTCCAGGCTCCTCTGTCCATGGAATTCTCCAGGCAAGAATACTGGGGTGTGTAGCCATGCCCTTCTCCAGGATATATTCCTGACCCAGGGATCATAGCCGGGTCTCCCACATTGCAGGCAGATTCTTTACCATCTGACCCACCAGGGAAGCCCCTATTCATTACATATCCATCCTTTACTACTGGAATAGTTACCTTTCTAACACACATGATTAAATACGTGATTCCCTTTCATTGAAATTTGGGAGATTGAAGCGTCAGCTGAATTGACTCCTGCTGATGGTTGTGAGGGAGAAAATACCCCATACTCTCTCTATCTTCTAGAGGTTGCTGGTCATTGGCATTCTTTAGCTTGTAGGTTTATAACCCTGGTCTTTGTATTCCTCTTCATGCACCATTCTCCCTGTGTCTCTCTCTTTCCAGATTTCTCCTTTTTATAAGGTCCTCATTTTAACTTGATGATTTCTGAAAGGTAATATCTCCAAGAATGGGAGCATGGTGAGGTGCTAGCGGTTAGGACTCCAGCAGGTTTTTGAGAGGAAACAATTTAACCTATAACAAACAGTGACAGTGAATCTAGAGGGAAAATAAAGGATTTTAAGATACCAAGGAAGTGAAATGGACAATCTTGGCTGATTATGGTTTGACTTGGAAAACTGTTGGAGAGTAAGTGTTGTTTATTTAAATAGAGGTTTCAGGAAGAGGACTCTGCTGGTTGGGCAACAGTAGACCAGTGAAACGTCTGAGGGACATTGCATAGGGGCGCTGGACTGGAAACATGGATTTGGAAATGATTATTCTATTTCTGCCCATTGAAGTGACTGGGAAAGTTTGTACAAGAAGAGTCAGATCCTGGACAGAATATTAAGATTCTCTGGTATTTATGAGAATGTCAATGTGAGAGACATCTAAAAAAATCACCCCTGAAATAGGAGGTACTAAAATTGTTATGCCCATGGGGAAAGGTTTTTGAAGAAAGAAGAAATGAGGGTTGATTCAACCCTGTCAAATTCCCCTGAGAGGTCAAGGAAGATGAGAACTGAGATTTCGCTATGGTAGTGACAAGCTGCTTGAAACCATGGCAAGAGCAAATTTAGCACCTTTTTGGGGGCAGAGTAGGGTGTTGTGAGTGAGTGGAAGGTGATGAGCTGAGACAATAGAAGTTGACAACTCTCCTTGGGCTGTAAGCTGGGGAGTAAAATAGAGCTGAGGCTGAACAGCGGGGTTGAATGAAGATATTTTTCAGTTTGGTTTTTGTCTTGTTTTGATCTGTTTTTAAACAAGTGAGACCTCCATGGGTACAAAAGCCAAAATCAAGAAGTAGTAAAGTGGGGAAACTTAAGATACAGAAGATAGAAAATAGAAAAGCAAATTCATATTATTAAAGTTAAAAAAAAAAAAGAAAGAAAAGCAAATTCGTAGAGAAACTGAAAGTTTATAGAATCCTGAACATTTGCAAGGATTCACCTAAAGTAGGAAAGAACCCCAACAAAAAGACTAGAGATCTTAGACGGCATTAAGGGACAGAGTTAGGGAGGAATTAGACTGCATATTTTCACTCTTTTTCCAAGAGGTTCCCAACCAGCATGGTTAAAGGGTGAGAGCACAGGTGAAAAGTACTACTTTTGATTTCTATTTTTGGGACTCAAAGAAAATACTTGACAGTGAAGTTTTGAAAGCTACTGCCAGCCGTGCTGTTTGTTTCACTGGAGAGGAGGGCGTGATGGAAAGGTGCGATGTGGCAGTAGTTTGCAATCTATCAAATTTTATCACTGAGTGCATATCATATCTAAATAAAATGTTACATATCTCTGCTTGGGATGTGATAGTAATAAACACCTCATATGTAATTTCATTTTACCCGAGCGTACTGGGATCTTTTGCCAAAGTCTATGATAGCACTAACATTTCCAGGATTTTAACTGACTGTCTAAAGTAGGTTTACTTGTAGATTATCATATCAGCAAATGATGCAATTTCCTTAGTGGTTTGAAGAAAAGACTGTTGATAAAGATGAATGTTTTTCTTTACAGGTATTCGGTTAAAGTTGCATTGCCACATCCTATTACAATACATGTTCGCACATCCAAACCAGATGTATTCATCAAACTACAGATCTTAGAAAATGAAGAAGTTATCGTGAGCTCCACCGGGAAGGGTCAAGCTCTCATACCGGCAATTAACTTCTTGGGGAATGAGAAAGACTTGAGCAGCCAGTGTAAGTGTGGCTTTTAAAGTTGGTTGTACATAGATTCGTAAACAGGTATTTATGTAACTGATGGTTAAACTGTTTTAAGATAGAATAGCAAATTGGTAAAATTTGATACCATAGTATTTTTAGAAAACTATTGCATTTGTGCATGACATTAGTCCCTGAAGATAGATTTGTTATAATTTTACTTTAAAGACTTTATTACTTGAGCCCTCTCAGATTTTCAAATAAGAAATAGATTTTTATTATTTTGAAATAACTTTTAATTAATTTATTTATTTTAATTGGGGGCTAATTACTTTATAATATTGTAGTGGTTTTTGCCAAATATCGACATGAATCAGCCACGGGTGCTCATGTGTTCCCCATCCTGAACCCCCCTCCCACCTCCCTCCGCATCCCATCCCCCAGGGTCATCCCAGTGCACCAGTCCTGAGCGCCCTGCTTCATGCATCGGACCTGAACCAGCGATCTGCTTCACATATGATAACATACACGTATCAGCGCTACCCTCTCAAATCATCCCACCCTCGCCTTTTTCCACAGAGTCCAAAAGACTGTCCTTTATATCTGTGTCTCTTTTTTTAATTTTATTCCAAATTTATTATTTTTAGAAAATATTCTACTTATTAAAATTAATAAAAGTGTTGAAATTATTACCTGCAATGTAATAGCCACAAGAGCTTTTAATTAATCAAATTACTTCTGAAGTAAGGGATAACAGTGATGCTGTAAGATATATTCATTTATTTTAATAACTTGGTTATGACTATAAAAGTAACACATGTCCAATGTAGAAAGCTGAAAAATAGAAAATTATAAATAAGGCAGCAAGAAATCCTTTATAATCATACAACCCAGAAAAAAGAAATACTGTTAGTATATTAGCTTTTACACCTCTACTGTCCATTTTTACATTCTCATTTTAAACAAAAGTAGAATATTACCAGTTTTGGTAATTGACATTTGTTTTTCTTATTTGTGACATTGATTGGGGCCTTCAAACCTATGTTAAATAAGAGTGATGATGATATACTTGTTATTCTTAAATAGGAAGGCTTAGAGCACTTACCATTCAGTATGATGTTTGTTGTTGACTTCTGATAAATACCCTTTATAATATTTAAGAAAGTTTTTCTCTATTGATAGCTAAGGATTTGAATATAGGTTTGGAACTTTATTGGTTACTTCTTTGTTTATAAAAAATCATCAAAGTTTATCCCTTTGAGTCTCATATATTAATTTTTAATTTGGAATACATTCTTGAAATAAAACTTATTTATCCATGATGTTTCAATACATTCCTATGTTTTGAATATACTATTTTATTTGGCTTGTTAGATCATATTTTCCCTTTAACTTTTAACTATTGTAATATTTTTACAATTTCCAAATAACTGTTTTAGCTGGTCTTCTGTTGTTAATATCTACTTAAACTTTTGGAATTAGTGTGATTTATACATTTTCTATGTTGAGCATTGGATAGATGTTTTCACTGTGACCTAATTCAAATCAGTTTTGGTTAGTATTACATTGAGTTTTATAAAGAACATGTATTCTCTATTTTGGAGGTAAATGATTTGATGTCTAAATACATGTGCACTCACACATACATTCTCTCTATGTATATATAATAAAAAGAAAACTTGCTAGTTTCAATATTTAAAATTTCAATTGTCATTTACATTTTATCTTATGGCTTGTAATTTTTTGAAAAAATATGTTAACATCTATTTTAATTGTGAAATGTGTACAAATTTATATCTAATATTTTCCAGTTTACATATTTATATGTTACATTGTTAGTTGAAAAAAGTTCTATATTTGCTTTATATTTATTGATATGCTGTATTTTAAAAATGAATATAAAGCAGTATTTTTTCAACTTTAATAGATTGTATGATAGTAATTCTGGTTCTTCATTTGTTATCATTTGCCTGTTCATTTTGGTTCACACATTTAGCTTTTCAACCTTTCTCTTATAAATGGGTAATTTTTTCCACTAAATCTAAGATTCTTACAGATTTTTTTTTTTTTTTTTTGGCTTTACTTCATGCAGGAATACTGTAATTCCAAAACTTTAGCAGGTACTGTGGGCGATTCTCCTATCCTGTTTATAGCCTTACATCTTTTCTTTAAGTAACTAATTGCCCCTAAGGTTACTCTCCAAAGTTTTTGATTTATATTCATAGAGGCAAACACTAGCTTAGCCTATCAGTTCAGTTCAGTTTAGTCGCTCAGTCGTGTCTGACTCTTTGCAACCCATGGACTGCAGCACGCTATGCTTCTCTGTCCATCACTAACTCCTGGAGCTTGCTCAAACTCCTGTCCATTGAGTCGGTGATGCCATCCAACCGTCTCATCCTTTGTTGTCCCCTTCTTCACCTGCTCATACAGCTTATCATTATTTCACTTTAAAAGTTAGCAATTTATGGCTGAGTAATATTCAGTTCAGTCCAGTCACTCAGTCATGTCCGACTCTTTGCGACTGAGTAATAGTAAAGTGAAAGTGAAGTGAAGTTGCTCAGTCGTGTCCAATTCTTTGCGACCCCGTGGACTGTAGCCTACCAGGCTCCTCTGTCCATGGGTTTCTCCAGGCAAGAATACTAGAGTGGCTTGCCATTACTCAGCCATAAAAGGAACGCATTTGAGTCAGTTCTAATGAGGTGGATGAACCTAGAACCTATTATGCAGAATGAAGTGAATCAGAAAGAGAAAGATAAATACTGTATTCTAACACATATATACAGAATCTAGAAAAGTGGTACTGAAGAATTTACTTACAGGGTAACAGTGGAGAAACAGACATGGAGAATAGACTTATGGACATGGGGAGAGGAGAAGAGAGGGTGAGATGTAGGGAAAGAGTAACATGAAAATTTATATTATCATATGTAAAAATAGATAGCCAATGGGAGATGGCTGTATGGCTCAGGAAACTCAAACAAGAGCTCTGTATCAGCCTAGAGGGTTGGGATGGGGAGGGAGATGGAGGGAGTTTCAAAAGGGAGGGGATATAAATTCATGTTGAGATTTATCAGAAAACAACAAAATTCTGTAAAGCAATTATCCTTCAAAAATTAATTTTTTTTAAAAAAGTTAGCTTTAGCAAGAGAATCACACATAAACATTTGACACAATGGTATTTTTTTTTTTTTTTTACTTCTGGCCAGGAAAGTGACAGAAATGAAGGAGAAAGATAATGAGAACATAATTCAGAAATTGACCCCAAATTAGAGCCATTATCCAAGAATGTTCTTCTTTTACAAAATGCTTCTATTTCATAATTATATTTCTAAATGAACTTAAATACAATATTTTAAATTTCCCCTGAAACCAAAACATCATTTTCCTTCTGATTTCTTTGAATACATAGATTAATTATACCTTCATAGTATTGAATTTCTATGCAAGTTAAAGGCTATTTATTTCCATCTATTCAGGACTTCTTTATGGTTCACAGAAACAATTGAAAATTTTCTCCATAGAAGTTGATAGGGTAGCTATCATAGATTAGATATTTTCTTTATTTAGATGTCAGACAGACTCTTATTTTTAAAGAATGCTATTAGTTTATGTTTATGAATCATATAAGCAGATATTGAATTTTTTTCCTTTCTAAAGGTTTTTTAAGGTGCTTCTCTTGGAAACATATCCATTTATGAAGTTTTTACTTTGTGTATTTCTGGAAGGCCGTCACCAAAAATACATGCAAAAAATGTGTTTATGTGTGTTATATTTGTAGTGAAATGGGACATGACAGATTAAGTTATGTATTCTGTGAGCAAACACAGAAAAGTAAAGTGTTAAGTAGCTCAGTCGAGTCTGACTCTTTGAGACCCCACAGACTATAGCCCGCCAGGCTCCTCTGTCCATGGGATTCTCCAGGCAAGAATACTGGAGTGGGTGCCCATTTTTTTATTGGGATCAGTTGTTTTTCTCTAATTTATGTGTAGACTATCATATATTAAGGAAAATGTTTTCCTTATTTTATGTTTGTCTCAAATATTTTTCATAACAGTGGTTATGAATGATTAAGTACACATTTGAAGGAAGTAATGAAGGAAAGGATAGGGACTTTGTGATTCATTTTTAATTTTTTATTGAAGTATAATCTACGTAGAGCAAAAAAGTAAATCTAAGTTGATGAATTTTGGTAAGTTTATCTATCAGTGTGACTTACACTCTTAATAAGATATGGAACATTTCTGTTACCCGGAAAAATTCCCTCAGATTATTTCTATTCAATTTCCCAACACCCAAAGAGGCAAGCGCTGTTCACATTCCCGTCACAATAAACTAGTTTTGCATCTTCTAAAACTTCATAAAGAGTAAATATTTAGCACATTCAGCATGTTTTTAAGATATATCTATGTTGTTGCTACTCCATTCTTTTTTATGTTGTTGAGTATTATTCCATTGTATGGATATACCATATGGTTTATGGCTTTAGATTTTTACTGGAATTTTGTTAAACTTGGGGAGCATTGGCATCTTAACAAAATTGAGTTCTCTGGTCTATGAACATATATCTTTAATTTCTCTCACAATGTTTTATACCCTCAATGTATAGATTTTACAACTAGTTTATTAAATTTCTATGTAAGAAATTTATTTTTATGGGAACTCCATCTAGGACTAAGAACTTATGTAAATTATATCATTTGATAGCTGCATTTAATTAACAAATCACATGAGTATTGTAATGGTACTTATATGATTTGTCAATTATGAAATAATACAGACACTAAAAATTATAATAACATGCATGTGCATAGTATTAAACACTGAAGTAGTCAGAACACGTGGTATTAGTTTATTGTCATTCAAGTGGCACAGAATGAATGAGAATTTGTTGAATTGTACATTCTTGTAGCAATCAGTGGTTGCTCAGAAAATGCATTGTTCTATCCAAGTCATATACCATTACAGTGTTTCTTTAAGACCAGGATATTTCCTAGAAGCCAGAGATGTTTTTTATCTCATAAAAACAAAATAAATTGATCTGTCCCTTTGAGTGTGTTTTATAAGGATATAATAAATAACACAGTAATGATTATGTATTCCACATATTTTAACAGAAACAATATTTCTCATATTCAGCCAGCAAGCAAATTCTTTCAACTCATACTGCTTTAAAGAAAGAGCAAGATTTATACATCAAGAAAAAATCTACAGGAGGTCAGAAATCCTATAAAAGGCCTGGAAGTGCAATAGTAGACACTGGTCAGCCTATTATGGATGAAGAAACCAGTTATATACCCACTGTAGATGAAAATGCTAGCACACCACAGCAGGTAATTAATATTTAGAAGGTTTATTCAATTGTACTACTCCTAAAAGTTTAACATAAATCATAACAATTCTTTTCCTAAAATTGAAGAAATAAAGAACAATGTATATAATTTAAGGCAGCAAATAAAAACATGATTTATCCATTGGAGATCAAGAAAATAAATTATTTAAAAGAAATAAAAACAAAATGTCAAAACCAAGTCCTAATATGACAGTAATTGGGCTTCTCTGGTGGCTCAGCAGTAAAGAATCCACCTGCCAATGTAGGACACTCAAGTTTGATCCCCAGATCAGGGCGATCCCCTGGAAAAAGAAAGGGCAAGTCTCCAGTATTCTTGCCTGGAGAATTCCATGGACAGAGGAGCCTGGTGGGCTACAGTCCCTGGGACATGACTACAGTCGGACACAACTGAGCAACTGAGCATACACAGAATTAAATAGAAAAATCAATTAGCAATTAATACTTGAATACTTTAACACATACTTTTCAGAAAAGAGTAAATTAAGTTGAAAAACAAGAGACATTTGATCATTAGGATTTGAAATATTAAGCATAAGCTTAATCTTTTAGGTATCTATATAGAACACTTTACTTCATAAAAATAAATATACTTTTTCATAGAACACACAAGAAGCCTCAAAAAAACCCAAACTATACTGTGTAATTGTTATCTGAACATAATTTAATAATGTAGAAATTAATAATTATCAGCTTAAAATCACATAAATGTGAAAACAGAGTAAATATACTAAATAATTCTTTAGCTTAAAAATCCTTTAAAAATCATTTAAAAAGAAAGTATTAAATACAAAGGGCTCAATAAAAATGAAAACTACAAATCAAAATTTGTAAACCACATCTAGAGTAGCATTCAGTGGAATGTTGAATTTTTAAATTAATTCATCAGAAAATATGAATGATTCAAACAAATGAAGTTAGAGAATGAGTAAAATAATAACTCAAAAATAAGCAGAAAAAATATTGATAAAAATGAGTAAATATTTAAGAAACGAGGAACAAAATATACAACAATTAAACTCTAAGCTTTTTAAGGTTAATAAAGATGACATGCTTTTTGTAAGACCAATCAGTTAAGGAAAAAGAAAGAAAATATGAATGAATCAAATATAGAACAAAAAATAGGATGAAGGTATAAATGCAAACAACAGGTTTAAATTTTTTTTAAGTATTATATGAAACTTTATACTAGCTAGAGCTTCCCAGATGGTGCTAGTGGTAAAGAATCTGTCTGCCAATGCAAGACACAAGAGACAGGTTCAGTCCCTGGGTTGGGAAGATCTCCTCTAGGAGGAAATGGCAACTGACTCCAGTGTTCTTGACTGGAAAATTCCATGGACAGGGGAGCCTGGCAGGCTACAGTCCATGGGGCCACAGAATTGGACACAATTGAGCAACTGATCACACACACACATACTAGCTGACTTAAAACTTAGAAAAGTTGTTTTAAATGTAAAATTCCTGGAATAGGAGGAAGAAGAGACTAGGTGCTCCACAAAAAGTAGGAAATATGAAATAATAAAAATAATAAAACAAATGATAATCAAAGTCATACCTTTCCAAAAAGCATAGGCCTAGTGACTTTACAGGATAGATCTAACAGACTTTTGAGGAGTAAATTATTCTAGAAAATAGAAAAATAGTACAAACCTTCCAGTCTTTTTTAAGAGATTAATGTAATTCAGATTCCAAAACTGAGTAACAAAATTAAAATAAATTTATCTTATAAACATAAATGCAAAAATTATAAATACTAGAATATATAATAGTACTGGTGGGAATATGAGGATATTATAGACTGTGGTATTACAGAATTTTGGGGACCATCTAACAGTATTTAATTAAATCATTATTTTATGATCCAGAAAAAATGCAATTATTATGTGCCTAAAATAATAAATGATTAAGCATATACTATGTTTATTTTTATTGTTTATACTTAAATATTGCATTTTTCCAGGTATACAAGTATATTATACAGTGTTCGGTGTTATATAACAGTTGGCCTCTCACTGAAAGTCAACAGATGTTCGTTCAAGCACTAAAAGACTTAGAGAAAAATGATAACAAAGGTATGTCACTCCAAATACTATTCCTGCATTTTATATCATCTATACATATTTAGCAGTAAATTTTTCATGTAATTACTAAGACATTATTGCTTAAAACTTATGCTTTAATCCAGTGGCATTTCCTGTTCTATTAACTGATTATGTGTTTCAACATTTTCACTATTTGGTTATGAAAACCAAAAAATATATGATTGTTTAGTCAAGTTTAAATAAATTTTATCTAGTTAGTAAAAATTACTTGATGATTATCTAACCAAGGTACTCTAAACTTTCCTAATTATAAATTATTTTTGTCCAAGTTATTAAAAATATAACTTTAAAGATATGTTTTTAAAATATTTAAGAGAAAAAGAACCCTATGCTGAAAGAGAATTCAGGTTTATTTTTTCAAAATGTAAACTATTCTCAGTATTTCTGAACAGGAAAAAATAGAATGATGCTTTAGATTTTTAAAAAATCTGAAACAGCCTCTACTCTTAAACATATATTGCATGTGTGCATGCTCATATCCAACTCTTTGCAAGCCTATGGACTGCAGCCTGCCAGGCTCCTCAGTCTATGGAATTTTCCAGGCAAGAATAGGGTGGGTTGCCATTTCCTATTCCTGGTGACCTTCCCGGTTCAGGGATAGAACATCTTGCATCTTGCATCTCCTGTATTGCAGGCAGATTCTTTACCACTGAGCCACCCTTAAGAAGTACAATAATTAAATCTGAAGGAATGAATATTTTCAATGTATATTCTTTTCAAATTTCAAGCAAGATTACCCAATCATAAAATTATCCTATGTACATTATTTGAAAAATAAAATTGTACACTACAGAAAAGCATAATACAATACCAAAAGCTGCTCAGAGTGCAGAGCAAAAGAAATTTTCACACACTGATGATGGGAATACAAAATGGTGCAGTCAAGTTGGAAGAGTTTCAATTTCTTACAAAACTAAAAATGCACTTACTACTGTGAAATAAAGTTCACAACTATGGCAAGACTAGCTAAGTTGAAATATTAAAAAAAAAAATTCTCTGTCCTGTGTCTTCCTGTCTCTCTGCTGCTGTGCAGTATGTACCAGCATTATGCATCTACCACCTTCTTCCATCATCAGAAATACCTGCTCCGCCATAAAAAGCAACATTCTGCTAGCATCCACAAGGCAACTCCTAAAAGATGACATTACTTCTTGATGGTGCAAGGGCTAGGATGATACTTAGATCTGGATTGTGTAAACTGACAATAATATGTCAAGGGAAACTATCAACATAATGAAAAGCAACTTATGGAATAGGAGAAAATATTTGCAAACCAGGTATCTGATGGTTAATAGACATATATATATAAACATAAAACAAATATATGTAAACATATATATATATATATAGAAATTGTTTAACTCAGTATCAAGAAAAGAAACAATGCAATTAAAAAATGGACAAAGGATCTGAGTAATATTTTTCCAAGGAACACATACAGATGGCCAACAGACACATGAAAAGATTTTCAACGTCGCTCACCATTGGGGAAGCATGATTCAAAACCACAATGAGATATTTTATTAGAATGGCTATTACCAAAAAGATAAGAGATAGCGGGCATTGGAGAGAGTATGGAAAAAGCAGAACCATTATTACACTGTTAATGGAAATGTGTATTTGTGTAGCCACTATGGATAGAGGATGAAGATTCCTCAAAAAATTAGAAATAGTACTGTGATAAGATCTAGCAATCTCCACTTCTGGGTATATGTTCTAAGGAAATGAAATCATTGTCAAGAGATATCTGTACCTCCATGGTCATTGCAACATTATTTACAATAGCCAAGACATGCAAACAACCTAATTGCTAATTGATTGATGAATGGGTAAAGACATATACATACATATATATATAGACATATACATATATAATGGAATATTATTCGGCCATGAAAATAAGGAAAACCTGACTTTTGCAACAATGTGAATAAAGCTTGAGGATATTATGAAAAGTGGGAAAAAAAGTCAGACAGAGCAAGCCAAATGCTATATGAACTCACTTATATGCAGAATCTGAAATAAGATAACTCATAGAAACATTGAACAGATTGGTGGGTGCCAAAGAGGAGGCTGGGGGATATATAAAATAAGTAAATGTGGTCAAAATACACAAACTTCCGGTTATAAGATAAATAACCCCCAGGGATGTAATGTACAGTGTGTATGTTTCTTAAGTTCTAAATCCAGCACAGGTGGATTTTCAGTATCTGAACACAGTAGTGTAATTTAAGAACTGGAATAATGTAAAATATAGATCTTGGTTATGGTACAAATTAATAGTATGAATTAAGTTTTTAAAGGAAATTAACATTAAATGGAGAAATACAGTAGAGTGGCTAAGCTACTGTACCTTTGAGTAGTGGAAACTGGGTTATTTATCACCTGTAAAATTAGAATAACTTCTGTGTTATATAATAACTCATCTGTTTCAGAGTTGTTATGAAGATCCAAAATAATATATATAAAGTTCCTAGAACCCAGCAGCACTTCAAAAAATGGTTTTATCATTATTGTGTGTTCCAACTAGAAAACGTCTTTAGGAATAATTACATGTCTTCTTTTTTGACATCACATTTGACAATTTTAAGTGTGAATGATCAGCTGCTAAAATTAAATGACACCTTGTGTCACCTTTCCTGAAAGCAGCAAAATAATTCAGGATTGAATTGTATTTAAAATGAGCTAGGAAATTTTTTTATTTGAAAAAGTATGTTGGACAATCTTTTTGAGAATTACATAGCTTTTGAATTCAGAATAATCATTCTGTAATTTCTTGCTTATAAATGTGCTTTTTTTGGGTAGCCAATTTATATAAATTAAAAAATGCCAATATGTCCACTTCCATTTGTCAATTATATTTACAACCCATAGCCTACAAACTATAACCTTAAGAGTGAGATACATTTTTGAGTAATTAAGTTATCAATGTCTTAAAATTATTAACTTAGCTTACTTTTCAATTATAAATATATCAAATATAAATTGGTGAAGCATTTCTTTCATTAATACATTGGTGAAACAATTTAAAATTATATGTAAATTAAATGGAAATGTTGCCCCATTAACTGATTTAAACTCAATATCTAATTTATATGAGAAATAAAATATATTAGTTTAATTTTTTTCAAAGATTTACTTTGTTACAACTCATAAAATGTAAGGCCTAAAACTATTATAAAACTTTAAAAAGTTTGGCCTCTGGTTAACATGAAGCAACAGTGCCACCTTTAGTATATTTCAATACTTTACATTTTAGTAAAAATTTCTTACTTTCACTTAAGAAAATAGAAAATATTGACTAGTAGTGATGAGAGTGGGCACCCTTGTCTTGTTCCTGATTTCAGGGGAAATGCTTTCAATTTTTCACCATTGAGGGTGATGCTTGCTGTGGATTTGTCATATATAGCTTTTATTATGTTGAGGTATGTTCCTTCTATTCCTGCTTTCTGGAGAGTTTTAATCATAAATGGATGTTGAATTTT